AACCAACACTCTCTTTGTTGACACACAAATTTCTCAACCTTTCCCTCCAAAGTGTGACTGCAGGCTTCACCTTATCTCCCAGTGGTCCTGGTGTTACTCTGTTAAGTAAATAACCATTCATGCCTATATCTAGGGCTTGCCATAGAGAGTAGTTTACCCAGTAGTGGATGAGGGCCTCTGAGTGCAAAATACCTCTAGCGTTGCCTGTTGCTGTTGATTTGGGGATTCATGGATTCATTGATTTAGGTATCTAAGACTTTATAATCTTCATAACCCCTCAATTAAAGTGTACATACTCCTAGCTTTAGGACATGATGCTCAATGCCATAATGAATATTAAATGGGACATAGATTCAGAGTCAGAGGATAGCATTATGGGAGTGATCAGAAAGAAAGGATCTGCAGAGGGTGTTAGAATGGTAGAAAGAACAGTCAACCCCTAATCAAGAGATAAAGGGATAGTATTAAACCCAAAATCAAGTGGGCTCCAGTCATGTGCTCTGCCAATAACCTGTGTTGGTAAGGTAAGTCTCTTCTGGCCTCAGTTTCCTCATCTGTAAAATAATTGCTTATACATAGTGCTTAAAGTTATAAAAAAAGTACTTGAAATACATTATCCCATGTGAACCTTATAAGAATCCTGTGATATGGGTGATAGAATTGTGCCCATTTTATAGGTAAAGAAACAGGCTCAATGAAAGGGAATAACTTCCCCAAAGGGAATAATTGCAATGACAGTATTTGAAGCCAGGTTTTCTGACTTGATGATCTTGTCAAATGAACCAAACCAGCCTCTAACCTGTGGATGGCCAGAGCCCAACTGAGTAGATATGGGACAAGAGAGTCAGGAATCAAAAAGAAGTTTAATTTCAAAGTGAGAGAAACGGCTTAAAAGCAAGGAGGTGAATTAGACACGTGTCCCAGAGTCCCAACCCTAAGGGGGAAGGGAGGAGGACTCACTTTAGCGTGGCTGAACCTTGATTTATATACTTGTGGCTAGACAAAGAGTGAAACAGTGTAGTGTAGCAATAGTAGTGAGCAAAACAGCGACAGTGAGGTAAGGTTGTCTAGGAACAAAAAGTCCCTTCATAGCAAAGCTTCATGTCTGGGCCTGTCGGTGCTTGCCCCAGCTCAGGGACCATCAGTTCCGGAAGCTGAGCACAAAGGATTGTTGTTATGCCAAGTTCAGGGCGCAGCTTGCTTGCTGGGTCTTAGCTCTGGAAAACAGGGTGTCTCCTAATAGTTTCTTGACAATCTACCTCCCTGTACTGCTAAACACTGGATTGAGAGTCAGGTAACCTGAGTTCAAATCCTGGTGCTACCTAGAGGTGGGTCCACAGGCGAGTCATTTTACCCTCGGCCTCTGTGTCCTTATCTATAAAATTATTAGAATAGACTCAACTAAATTCAACCATAATATTTAGGAAGCACGTCCACTGCAAGGCACTAGTGGTTCAAAGGTGAAAAACAAAGTCCTTGACCTCTAGGGGCTGAGCCACAAAGAAAGAAAAAGATTTCAACAGGCAGAGATGTAGAGAAAATGCGTTCCAGGTATGGGGGTGGGGGCAAAGCTCATAAAAATTCATGGAGGCCAAAGACAAAGGAGCAGCAAGTAGTCCTATTCGCCTGGAACAGTGTGAAAAGGAATAGATTGAAACAAGGCTAGAAAGGTAAATTGGAACCAAATTAGGTGGGCCTTCAATGATAGGCTAAAGAATTTATACTTTATCCTGTAGGTAATGGTGAGTTTCTAAAAGTTTTTAATCAGCGGAATAACAAGGTTAAATCTGTGCATTAAGAAAAAATATTTGGGCATTGTGTAAAGAAGCCATTCCAATAGAGAGAGGTTGGGGGGCCTCAACAAGAGTGGTAGAAGTGGAAATTGAGAGGAAAAGACAGAGGAGAAAGGTATTGCCCAAGTCACAGCTGCCACTTCCTCTGTGACCTCAAAGTGCCCTTCTAGCTCTGAGATTTTCTTGTTCTATTTCACAATTTTGTTTCAGCAGAAATGCTCGGCACCTCTCCTCTGGAATACACATTCCTCTCTAAATCTCCTCCTCCTTATCTCACATCAGTCAGGTCCCTTCTACCACTGTGCTCCTTCAACTCTGTCTCACATGAAGAAGTGGCGTTCCTCTTTACCGAGGCCGACCCCTCTATGTGCACAAGTGATTCTGGTCCTTCCCATCTTCTCCAGCGGGCATCTTCCCTGTACCCTCCCTATGCTCTCACTAAGAATCTTCAATCTCTTCCTGTCTACTGGTTACTGCCCTATTTCCTACAAACACAACCTGAAAAACCCCCTTGCTTCATCCACCCCTCCCAGCTAGCCGTTGTCCCTGACCCTCCCTCTTATGGCTCAGTTCCTTGAGAAGACCACCAGGACTTGGCGCCTCCACTTCCTTCTCACTCTATTCTTAGTTCTCCGGAGTTTGGCTTCTGACCTCATCATTTAACTGAAACTTCTCTCTCTAAATTTACCAACAATTCCTCAATTGCAGAATAACTGCTTTTTCTCAGTTCTTTTCCTTTTTTATCTCTCTGTAGCCTTTGACACTGTTGATCCTCCTCTTCTTGATTCTCTCTTCCCTCTCTCTCTCTTTTTTGTGTGACACCTATCTCTTCTGGTTCTCCCACCTGTCAGACTGCTCTTTCTCAGTAACCTTTGCTAGATCTTCATCCAGCTCATGTCCTCTAAGCATGAGTGTCTCCCAATGCTCTGTCTTGGGCCCTCTTCCCTTCTCCCTCGATACTATTTGATATTGTGATCAGCTCACATGGATTCAAGTATCATCTCTTTGCTGATGATTCACAGATCTTATTCAGCCCTAACTTCTCTCCTTACCTCCAGTCTCACATATCCAGCTGCCTATTAGACAACTTGAATGAGGTGTTTCTTAGATATTTGTACAATTTATCCAAAACTGAACTTATCTTGCCCTCTGCTGTCAAGAACACCACTATCTTCCCAGTGTTCC